CACACACACACACACACACACACACACACACACACACACACACACACAATCGATTGCGCCCCGCTGATGTATGCACGCTCCCTCAACCCCGCCGAATGACGCGCTCGAGCGACTTCGAAATGCACACCTACGAAGTGCCCGCACAGTGCCGAGCGATCCCACACACGACCGCGGCCACACACTACCACGGACCACGTCCGCGTCTCTCTCTCTCTCTCTCTCCCTCTTAGTGTGTATTTCCATGTACCCTCTCTCTCTCTCTCTCCCTCTCTTTCTCACACACACACACACACACACACACACACGTGTAGTAGTCAGCCGCGAGGTCGGAGACTTACCTGTTGGCCGGTGCGTTGCTCAACCAGTCGATGGAAAACTCTCTCTCTCTTTCTCTCTCTCATCCTTTTCAGTGTATATTTCCATGTTCTAGCGGTAGATTCGTTTGATTCTTTCTCTCTCTCTCTCTCACACACACACACACACACACACACACACACACACACACACACACATACACACAATCGATTGCGCCCCGCTGATGTATGCACGCTCCCTCAACCCCGTCGAACGACGCCCTCGAGCGACTTCGAAATGCACACAGACAAAGTGCCTGCACAGTGCCGAGCAATCCCACACACGACCGCGGCCGCACACTACTGCGCGCCCGCACACTACCACGGACCACGTCCGCGTGCACACAAACGCAGACCGATGAACTGCCACCCACAACAGCACCCGCACAACGACGAACTGCCGCCCACAACAGCCCCCGCACACTGCCACGGAACAGGTCTGGGCACTTCCACCCGCGGCCCGTCGAACCGCCGCCCCTTGGGCCGCACCTGCACGAAATCGTCCACTGCCACGAAACGCCCGACACCGCCCGGTACCGCTCACCACGCTTCCCCGGAGGCCCGCCGAGGTGAACACCGACAGTGAAACGCCCGACACCGCCCGAAACCGCTCGCCGCACTTCCCTCGACGCCCGCCGAAGTGATCACCGCCCCTGGGCCCGCCGGCGGTCGTCCCACACCCGGGAGCGTTGTCTCGCGTGGGCCCGTCACGCGAGACCGGCGTCTTCCTTTATGGTATTAGAGAAGTGTCTTTCACAATGCCTCGATTACAACGAAGGCACAAAATGATGGAATCTACTTTTATATTTCGGGGTGCTATGCAACATCTAGCTGTTAGGCAGCTCCACACACCAATGAGAACATTTTTGTTGTCTAGACACAAACAAATCGTGATCAAGCCATTTCGAATGGAATGGATTCCATGGGAGGGGAGTTGTCGATGGAAGAAGAAATTCTTACGACGGAGGAAAAAAGTGGAACAAATTAAAAAAAAAAACAAAGCCTGTGTGATGACGGAGTCCTCTTTGGTGCTTCTCCCACGGCCACTCGTCAATAGAGAATGATGGTACAGGGACTGTTGACAGAAGGAAAACTGATGGTGAATCCCTTGTTGAC